AATAATAATAGAGTAAAATAATTGAAATGTAATTATAACAGTAATTATAAAATAATAAATTTAATAATAGAGTAAAATAATAATAGAATAAAATATTAAATGCAAAGAAATAATAGAGTAAAATAATTTAAAACTGATAATAAAAATAGAATAGAATAATAAATGTAATAATAATAAATAGTCCCCTTAAGGGGAGAAGGGCGGGGTAGAATGTACGGGGGGGGGGGGGGGATAGAGTAAAATAATAAATGCAAAAAATAATAATAGAGTAAAATAATTTAAAGCTGATATTAATAGTAGAGTAGAATAATAAATGTATTAATAATAAATAACCCCCTTATGGGGAGAAGGGCGGGGTAGAAATGTTCAAAAATAAATAAAATAAAAATAGAGTAAAATAATAAATGCAAAAAATAATAATAGAGAAAAATAATTTAAATGTGATGATAATAATAATAGAGTAAAATAATATATACCCTTGACTTGAATATAAGGCAAGGGAAGCTTTTTCAGTCTGAAAAAAGAGCTGAAAAACTAGGCTTATGCTCAAGTATATACGATAATTCATGGCCTGGGGTTAAGTAGTGACTTCATTCACGCACAAGACGTTCCTACTAGACGTCTTTCTCATCAGCATCCCAGGCCTGGACTTAGTAAGGAAAGAAGGCTGAAACAAGGAAACACCTAAACCGCTGATGTCACAACAATAGCACACCCAACTCCCATTCCCACTGTGGTGTCAAAGGAGGAAAACAGCTTCCGTAACCTAAAGCCACATGGCTGAGAGACTTGGAATAGATGCATCAATGGGAGGAACTTCAGATGGCATTCTCCTCTGAGCAAAACAGACAAGTGGGACAGCAGGGGAAGTGGGGAAGGCACCAAAACCTCAATGTGAGCCAACTGCTGATTCCAATGAATTTCTCTATACCTGTTTCATCATACCAAGTTATAGAAACCGCTGGGAGCCTAGAAACAAAAGTGATCGCTTGAGAATGCTGGAGAGCACTCAAGCACCCACATTTAACCCAAATAGAGATTGTTTTCTGGGGAACATAACCATAAATATTTTGAATGTGAGAGGGGGATCATCCACAAGAAAGTTTCCTTCCATAACTAAGGAATGTGCTGTAGGTGCACCGTTGTTAGTGGAGAATTTGGAGTAACTAGCCGAGTCAACCAGAGGCTTTGCATACAACATAGATACAGAAGTCCTCATTCCACATGCTTTAGCCACCTCACACTCTCATCTCCCTCCTGAAGACTGAATCCCTTTGTGTTCCTTTTACTCATTTGAATAGTTAATAAATCACACCTTCACCTTCCAAACGAAAGCCTACTCCTGACAACGCTTCAAAGCAGGTCTGGGAGAGGAAAGAATGCTTGTTTCACTGAAGAGCTTACCTTGACAGTTAACATAGTCAATAGATACACAGATAGATAGATAGATAGATAGATAGATAGATAGATAGATAGATAGATAGATAGATAGATAGATGGATGGATGGATGGTATAGTAGGGCTGGGCGGTTTCGTTCGTTAATTTTGTAATTCGTTATTAATTCGTTATTTTTTTTGATAACGAAGCGATATTGAACCATTCAGGAGCAACTAAAAAACGAAACAAATTTTTCCAATTCGTTTCGAAATTGTTTCGTAATTGTTTCGTTATTATTTCGTTATTATTTCCGTATGTCTGGTGCAAGTTTTATAGTCGTTGTTTGTTTTATCAGTGATAAAAAAAAAATTATCACACCAACAGTCAACAACAGAGGGAGAGGGAAGCTTCAGAAGTTCCCCCTGTCCCATTTGGAGGGTTTTTTAGCATATTGCGCAATCGCGTCCGCCATTAACGAATCGATTCGTGATTGTTTCGTAATTGTTTCGTAATTTCCGAAATTTCGTATATATCGAACTTTTTTAAAGAAAAATTTCGGAATTCTTTTAAATAACGAAACGCAAAAAACCCCTTAAAACGAATCGAATTTAGAAACAAATTTTTCCGTGGTTGGACAGCCCTAATAGATAGATAGATAGTGATTCTGTCAAGAGATAGCTGGCTAATATGGTTGGTTTAATATACACAATGGTGATCTCTAGTTCCTGCAGTGTTGCCCATCTTATAATTCCTATTCTTTAGAGCAGTGGTTCTCAATCTTCCTAATGCTGTGACCCCTTAATACAGTTCCAGATGTTGTGGTGACCCCCAACCATAACATTATTTTCGTTGCTACTTCATAACTGTAATTTTGCTACTGTTATGAATCATCATGTAAATATCTGGTATGCAGGATGTATTTTCATTCACTGAACTAAATTTGGCACAAATACTTGATACAGTCAAATTTGAATAGTGGTGGGGTTGAGGGGGAGATCGATTCTGTCATTTGGAAGTTGTACTTGCTGGGATTTATAGTTCACCTACAATCAAAGAGCATTCTGAACTCCATCAATGATGGAATAGAGGCAAACTTGGCACATAGAACTCCCATGACCAACAGAAAACACTGAAAGGGTTTGGTGGGCACTGATTGACCTTGAGTTTTGGAGTTCTAGTTCACCCACATCCAAAGAGCACTGTGGAATCAAACAATGATGGATCTGGCCAAAACTTGGCACAAATGCACAATGTGCCCAAATATGAACACTGGTGGAGTTTGGGTAAAATAGACCTTGACATTTGGCAGTTGTAGTTGCTGGGATTTATAGTTCACCAATCAAAGAGCCCCTTTAAGCTCACCGCCAAACTTCCCACACAGAACCCCCATGACCAACAGAAAATTGTGTTTTCTGATGGTCTTTGGCTACCCTCTGACACCCCCTCACAATCCCCCCCCAGGGGTCCCGACCCCCAGGTTGAGAAAGGCTGCTTTAGACAATACAGAACACACTGGATCTGACATGATGTATTTATCTGACATGATGTATTTATCTGGCAAGCTAAATGTTCATTTGCTCAGAACCACTCATGCATAATCTTATCTAGATTCCCCTGCCCTTCAGGGAAATCCCACACTCTCTTACTTGAGGATCAGTAGCAGAGACAGGTAAATTATGTGCCCAGCCTTGTCAAAAGGAAAGCCAACAACAAGAAATGTGAACGGACAGGCACCCATTTAGCTACTTTATCTTTGCAGAGTGAACATGACACATAAAGATCTATATGGCTGGCTCCTCGTCATGCAACATCTGAAGACCCACAGCTGTCCTTTTGAGGCAAGATAATAATCTTTCTGAGTGTTAAGGCTGAGGCCTCCTTTACAAGATCTAACAGAGCAACAGGAATTAGGAGAAGTTCCTTTTCATATTTTCGGGGCTGTCTTCCAAAAGTAGCACACAGGGCATCATCTCTGCTGCTTTCCCTCCAATCTGCATTCAATTAAACTGCTATGCACACAGTTACAACTTGCTGCTGTTTTTAGTTTCTGTAACTGGATTTGTTTTCTCTAAATTTAAACAATATGCTTTTTGGTTTTAATTATCTCTTGCAAGTTACCTGCGGGAGGGCTTTGTATGGAAAAAGAGAATCCACAAGCACTCAGAAGAAAAATAAATTCAAATGCTCTACACAAAACTTTCCTGAGATAATACAAAGCAATACATGTTACACGGCAATACTATAATACAAACATGATGTAATATTAACTAATTTGTGAACAACATATACCTCTGTAAAAACCATGCCGTAAGTCTACATTTCTTTCCCAAACCTTTTTCTTTTTTCTATTTCCAGCTAATAAGGAACGTGACTTTATAAGACTAAATATGGAGACTTCAGAGATATATTGCATTTAGAATAGCTATATATGTTGCAGAATTATATTTATTCATTCAGTATCACAATATATTTATTAGAGTTGGGCTCAAATAACTGTTAACGAAAAGATTTGTAGTTTCTGGAGGGCCATTTTTGTGTAATTTCCGAAAACAGAAAGGTGAAGAGAAAGACTAAAAGACCAGTGAAACAAATTCAGAAAGATGATATTTTTAGAAAGAATTAAGTCCACAAAATATCTGAGGCAGGGGGAATTTGTGGCGTCTTTTTCTCTTTTAGCAGAAGAAACCTCCTCCATTTTTTTCTTGGAAAGTTTCCTCCTCCTCCAGAGAGGGCCCTTAAAACTCACTTTCCCAGTGGCACTAACATAGGGTAGCCATTGAAAGTTCCTCTTGGAGCATGATAGGAGTTGAAGTTTTTCTCTCTGTGTGTCTCCCAGCCAATAAAAAGCCTGGTGGTGTTCATGCTCTGATTGGCTGAGAATGGACACAACCGGCGACTACAATTCCCAGAACCCTTCTATTGTGGTTTGTCTTATTTTTTAAAAATGTTATGTTTAAAACTTAAAATAATTCTACAAAATCAGTAAATTAGTGAATTGTTTTGAAACTTGGCAGGCCTGCAGTTGTAAATAGGCTCTACAACTGAGGTAGGTTTCATGAGATAGGCCTTAAAATGACCAAGGATTGATCCTTTAAAGTTTTCCATTGTAGACAACGGGCCAAATCTCTGCCGAAATAAACAGAAAATACCCCTCCCCTTTCAGGTAAATTTCTGGTAAACAAAATGAGGGGTCAGATAAAAATGGACCCGAAAACGGTATGCCTTTTGGTCTGAATGCACATTACTAGTATTTATGAATAGTTCCCATCAGGACACTCAAAGTAGCTGCCTGTCTCTCCATCTATCTTCACTCTCAATAATAAATCACTGTCTAAAGAGAGATTAAAAACAATTTTATGACAATTTTTTAAAAACCAAAACTTATATAGAATCCCTACAATCTGAGCTCCTGGTCAGAAAGAACAGTTAAAGCTCAGTGAAAGTAAGGCTGCTTTGACCTCACTAATACTGCATAGAAGTACAGCAATGAAGTTGCTGCTCCAGAGAAAGAACAGCCAAAAGAACAGTGTGAACAACTGAAAACAATGAACTTTGCAGCAGTGTTTCTTCACTTCCCATGAATGTTTTAATGCAATCAAATTCCAATGAAAAATGCCATTACCTGGGCTGAGAATTCTCTTCATACATTCTCTCCTTTCCTTCTTTAAATAGGCTGATGGTCTGCTTTGTCTTTTTCATCAGGTTTTCCATGAACACCCTGAAATATTCATTATCTCCCAGTGTTTCCATCTTCCCCTCGTAGCGAGACAGGATGGTGCGCAGGTGCTGGTAAGTGTCAGGAAGCAGGTCGAGAATGTAAGGAGGGCTGTTTTTCAGGGCCAGCTTGGGATTCTGGCACAAACGCACAACCTGAGAAAAGAAGACAAGAAACCAATGAGAATTAAACATACGACTCCGACAGATATTCCAGCATCTTCAACCATCCAGTGAATTTTGAGAACTAGTCACTGGAATACAGAAGGCTATTCACAAGTCAAATTCATTACCACTAACCCTGAAATCTGAAACAAGAAATAGTTTTCTAAGCAAATTGTAATTTGATTTCATTAACATCAAAGACATGGAGGCACAAGTAAAAGTGTTAGTATTCAGGTAAGCTCTGTAGTCTGCTTTGTTTTACAGATTAATGAAAAATATGAGCACATCTTTCCAAGTGCTATCTTGCTCATTTTGCCTTGCTCCAGATGGAGATGGTACAAATTACTGTACTTTGCCATAGTTCCCTGGCTGATACAGTTCTTTCTACTGACAATGGACTTAATGGTAAAGAGGAAGAAGCTATTATAGAGTACTTCTCCATGTCCGATACTGAAAGGCCTGCCAAACTCACATGCAGACAGGCACTCGTGATCCACACTAGCAGAAGTGAATATAATTGTAGGAAATATCAGGTCAAATATTCATATGAAGTCAACTTTAAAATGGACTTCGCTGATCCACATCCTAAACACTGCAAGATACTGCAAAGAACTTTTGAGAGTCTGTCATCATAATCACGATATGGACCCCCAGTAGTTCCATGGGTTAAATCGTTGTGCTGACTGAAGACTGACAGGTCAGAGGTTCAAATCCAGGGAGAGCACGGATGAGCTCCCTCTGTCAGCTCCAGCTCCTCATGAAAGGACATGAGAAAAGCCTCCCAAAAAGATGGTGAAACATCAAAACATCCAGGCGTCCCCTGGGCAACGTCATTGCAGATGGCCAATTCTCTCACACCAGAAGCGACTTGCATATCACAATGATGATGATGACTGTAGATAATACTACACAGTGTACAATATTCCCAGTTTCAATGTATTGTCGAAGGCTTTCATGGCTGGAATCACTGGGTTTTTGTAGGTTTTTTTGGGCTATATGGCCATGTTCTAGAAGCATTTTCTCCTGACGTTTTGCCTGCATCTATGGCAAGCATCCTCAGAGGTAGTGAGGTTCCCAGTTTCTTCAGATTGATTATGTATTAGAAGAACTCAAGACTTTTTTTGGGAATATCGTAATATCTCATGCTACCAGCAGTGGCCATCAAAACAACAAATTACCTTACATCTAGAAATTCCTGGATTTGCACACAAATAAGAGTCACCATACTGACTAACATTAAAAAAATCAATGGATTTTAACACATTCCAATTATGGCTGTGGTCAAATGATAACACTTGTGTTCTCATATTTAACAACTATTTCTCAACCGAAAGAAGCCCTCTCATATTCTTACCATTCACTTTGTTATGATGTAGCTCATAATATCCCCCCTCCAAGCTGAAACCAGCCATTGTTTTTGTTCCCTCTGCATATTCAGCTGGGTGTATTCATATATACTTCCAAACCTATTGCTGATTTTAAATTAGTCTGGAATCTCCATCTTGAGAGATGGCTTTTTGGATTTTTCCTGTTTCTTCTCAGATTTTTGTATCTTGCTTAAATGTTCGGACATTTGCACATCTTTGTGGCTTTTCAATTAATCTTAATAATAGTATTCCAACCATGGGTTTCTGTTTTCCCCAAAGAACTATCTTTGTTTTGCTTAATTTCATTCATTTTGAAAACACTCCAGTACATAGTAGCAACCAACAATTAGACTCCAGCACAAGGATACAACCATGCATCCCAGGCATCAAAAACAGAAATAACCTCCCCTTTTTTTTGTACCATATTCCCTCTTTTCAAAGATACATTTTCTAATTTTAAGGGTTCAACACAAGTACAAGCCGGATGCCTGGAAGCTAAAGCAAAGAATAGACACTTCCCTGGACCTGATGTTGTAGACCAAAATGACCTAGAAGTCATTACACATATTTCTGAATATCTTAAGACACATTTTATGGCTTAAGGAAACAGAGCAAAACACTCACCATTTTGTTAATAAATGGGGAAGGAAAGAAGCATTCACTGGAAAGCTTTAGAGCGATGTGTTTTATTAGTCAACATTACTGTTGCTAAACAATACTCAAATCCAACGATTTCTTTCAAACTCATTGAACAGTTAAGTATTACTATGAGCTAACGTTATAATCCCAGGGATTATTGAACCCACATGCTCTCCACTATTTTCTCCTTCTGTTATTGGGAAATCAGACACCCCCCCCCCCAACAATATGAATTACATAAAACATATGCATTATGAGATGCAACTTCAGTGGAGAATATAGCCAGCCACGTGGTCATTTCTAATTGTCCTAAAAAGTAACCTTTCTATGAAATTCCTTGGAAATTCCCCAGATCATGAACTCACATCTCCCTTGCCTAACCATCACCCAGAAAAAAATAGCCATAATCCAATTTCCTTTATCTATCTAGCATGATATGATCTAGGCTAGCACTACATTGCCTTATCTATAGCATCTATCCAGATCCCATCTGAGACTCCTCCATTGTATGTAACGGTGCCTCAGACACCTTTGGTCCATCAGTCGGCACCACCTTTGTTTAGCTGGGCTTTGGACCATCAAACCACATCCCACCTAGACGGACCCAGTTTCTGGAAAAGACTCACAGATGGAAGACTTCAGCTCCACAGATCCACAGATCCACATTTATTAATTTTTCTGCCTTGTTTCTGATTGGCTCAGAGGCAGAAGCGGACTCATACCTCTTCCAATGAGGCTGTGGATCCTAGCTGGTACCCTCCAGGACCAATGAGGGACTGGTGTGGCAATTTCTGATTGTTCTGTACTGCTTCTTCTTTCTGTCAAATGTACTATAAATAAACCCATGTCTTTCCAGTTTGGGTACGTCAGTACTTTGGAGTGCTTTTCTCTACTGACATCCTTTCTGGCCCAGAAGAATAAAAACTCAGCTTTTGCCCTCTAACCTGTCTGTGTCGTGATTTGACATTCTGGATCAGCTCCCCGAAGTTGTGATTTTTGCGGAGGTGAAATCACATTATACAGTGTTATGACTGAAAAGGGATCAGAAGCATCTGTTTCATCTCAGGTTAACCAGAGTTTAGTATGGCAACCAAATTCTAAACCAAAGTGGACCATGGTTGGTTATTTGAGGGCTGTTGGGTTCCGAAGTATAATTAACCAGCACAGTCAACCATGATGTATAATGGGACTTGCAGAGCAACACCTTTTGGGCACCCACAAGTTACCTATTCCTACTTTTAAGTTTGCTGTTATCTATTGCTGGTTTATGGGGAAAAGCTAAATTCATAAAGTATGGTTTGATGGTGGATTATTTCTGCTAACTCCAACCAAAAATAACCAGTTTATCTGGGTTCAATGTGGTTAACTCAAATCAGAATTAAGTTTTCCAGATCCCTCCTTGTGGGTGACTGTTACCTCCAAACTTGCCCCGAGGGGCACAAAAATATTTGTCTTCTGTTGGGTTCCTTTTATGTGTAGTTGCAAAATGCCAGCAGTGCCAAAAACAATTTTCACGGCTTTGAGAAATCAGCAGTGTACCAGAAAATTAGCACACACTGCATTCATTCTCTCTCTTTGGCTCCTTAATAGACTACTGATAAAGGACAATGACTTCAAAAGAGAGAACAGGCATCACATCAAGTCTGGATGTATTTACCGTATCAATTAGGCAAGTACTATGTGACTACATCAAATCCTCTAGCATGAGTATTTCTCTTTTTTTAAAAAAAAAACTGTCAACTTCTCCCTTCCCAAAATGTTCAATGCAGGTCTTTAATCATTAAGGAGAAAGACACAAGAAGGAAAGACTGACATGAAGTTGATAATCCCGACATCTTTATGTTTAAAATGGGAACAATGTGAAAAAATAGAACATGCCTATTTTCTCATTACCTTAAAATATATATTTGTATACACTAAGACAATCCACACTTCAAATGACTGTTGAATAGTTTTGAAATGTGAGTTGTTTTAATGTATACAAAAACCCACTATGTTTTATTCTGACATAAAATCAGAAAAGAGGAAACAGTAAAACTGATTTTGTGTCAGAGGTACAAGGCAGAAAAAAGTCAAGATGAAAAAGTGTCATTTGGCCACTTCTTCATTTCTGCACGACTGCAAGGAAATTAAAGCTTAATAAGGCACAATGAGCGAAACAAGAACAAGAACCCATGTGCAAACCATAACGTAATGTTAGCGACCTACTTTTAACCTAAAGCAGACAACGTACAAGAACTTTTGCAACTCTCATGTCAGAAGAAAGTCAGACATGAATTTAATCAAAACCTAATTTATCCAGTAGGAAGTTTTGTAGGCTCATACCACCAAAAATACATTAAATGGGCTGAGATGGTGAACCTTCTTGATTAGGTTATCTCATCTTTCAAGGAGCCCCCAGTGGCACAGTAGGTTGAACCCTTGTGCCGGCAGGACTGAAGACCGACAGGTTGCAGGTTCGAATCCGGGGAGAGGTGGATGAGCTCCCTCTATCAGCTCCAGCTCCTCATGCGGGGACATAAGAGAAACCTCCCACAAGGATAATAAAAACATCAAATCATCCGGGCATCCCCTGGGCAATGTCCTTGAAGACTGCCAATTCTCTCACACCAGAAGCAACTTGCAGTTTCTCAGGTCGCTCCTGACGCGACCAAAATTTCATCTTTCAAATCTATATTACCTTTGGCTTTCTCTGCCCATTTCCACACATATAATGTAAGCTTCTACTTGTCACACCACAAAAAGTGGGTAGTATGCAAGTAGGTAAAAGTGTCCATCTTTTCCCAGATATTACCTTGGCTCCACACCTTTTCTTTTTTTATACGTTATCTATGTGAAGGGGATGCAGTAATTTACAGAGTTCTCTCTTCAAACAGAAGTTAAGCATCAATAAGCATGCAAATTTGTGATTTATGGTTATGTTACCTGGGTGTGTACCCTGCAAAGATATTTAAAAGGTCAGCATCAAAAGCTTGCTACACAACT